GATGTTTGGGTGAGCTTTTCATGAGTAATTATTGGGCAGGCCGCCTTAATCATCTGCAATAAAATTAAAAACCAAGTAAAATTCAGGGAACCAGACTTTTGAGTGTGCTGTGTTGTGGTTGCCTATCATAATGTATGTGAAGCTCAGTCATCTGTACAATTATACAAGCCTGCAATCAGAACAGGGGGAGGGAGCAAAGACATCAAAATAGGCGGTGCACAACGCCGAGTATAAAGTTTCTGATCTGCGATACACATGGCCTCCTTCTAGGCTTGGAGAGTAAAAAGACCACACAAAAAAACACTTCTGAAACCACATAAGAAATATCAGCAGGGTTCACGAAGAAGCCCACCATCCAAAAATGTGGTATTCAAGCAAAGGATTAGTGTCTAAATCAAGCCCATGTTATAGAATGACTGACCATTCACCAAATTCTTTTCATTAATATTTATCTTAGAGCAACATTACCATCATTTTAAACACAGTGTAACCCCTATTTGTTTACAAGTGGAACAATAAGAATTATATCAAAGTAAAGCAGGAACTGTTGCAAGTTTAGGTTGCATTTAACAAAAGACGACAAAAACCTGTAAACTTTATGTCATGACTCTTTTAGTTAGGCCAATAAACACACTCATCGTTCAAATTGAGGATGTTACTAGGCGAACACTTTCTTCAGTCAGGAAAATGGAAATTTAAACTAGTCTAAAGTTCAGAAAACACTCAAAACAGTCAAAATTGAGCACAATTCTTCTCAAATTGTCGGTGGGTAAACGATGTATTTTGGTTTGCCAAGTGTTGCTAACGTTAGCAGTGCTAGCATAGCCAGCCTTAGGTCTTCCTTGTATGTTAGTGTTCTCTTGCCTGTGCTGAACGTCAAGATGCATTGTTCCGCTCATTTGCCAGTTTAGCCTGACAAAGTCCAAATACATTTTTTCTCCAAAATACTGCAAAACTGCGCTGCTCCCATGAGATGCTTTCCTTTTACAGTGCTTTTACCGAGCGTGGAGAACAGGCTTATTAACCTGAGCTTCAGCCAGTCTACAGCCCTGGCTAGTGGAAGGTGGATGCATTACAGTTGAAGAATGACATTTGACCGACATTGAGGGCCAAGCAAGCAGCAAACTCCTGTCTTGAAAAATTAAGCCAATGAGGAAGTGCAAAATAGTGCAGTTCGTAGAGTGTCTGTTTGAGGCTGCCTCCAGGAACACCAGAAGTCACATACAAATGACAGACATTTTTACAGCACAAATTAACAGGTTAACAGCCTGGTACAAAAAAACAAATATATCTAATTAGTTATTGTCATCGCTGGCACACACTGTACGGGAGGTGAGTTTTTTTTAAACGGCTATGTTTTGATTTTGAAAACGATACGTGTTATCCACAATTACGCGCAGAGCTGACATGATTGACAGGTGAGCAAGATGTAATGGTTCGTCAAGAGACTTAAACCCCGCCTCAGCTCCGGCTCTAGGTCTGTCGTTAGGTCGACAGAAAGTTAGGCTGAGACAGGATTTCCAACATGGCAACAGCTGCCGATGAGCCTCCAGAGCCCCCTGCAGGAACAGATGGCTGACTTCACTCAGGCTTAACCATTAATAATTACAATCTATGGGGCCAACATATAAAAATACAAGTATTTCCTTTAACCTAATAGAGAACAGGTGATGGCGTTTAACCATCTATTCAACTAAGTGCCCACATAACCAGTTCAGAGGTCACAAATATTAAACTACGTGTACAAACTGGCTTGTTTCTGTCTACATGGATCTGAAAGTTACATTAAGTCAACCCTGCTGGCCCCTTTTACAATATGAGAATAATGTAGATCTAATTTATACTCACTTTGGACACCCTTATGTCTTCAAGTTTCATTACAAACACGTTATATTCAGCAATGTCTGTCAATAACCTAGGTGTATATGCTAGAGACTGAAACATGAAACTCAAATGAAAAAAATTAAAATATATTGAAAATTTGACTTACTGTGGCTGATACAGAAACAGCTCAATGATATTGTCTCTGCCCTTGGGATGGTTGAAGAAGACAAAGAGAGACCAGTGAATGAGCCATGTCCTCTGCTGGAGAGACTGGAGAGGGGAGGTGACCGACTGCAAAGGACAAAGACAAAGTGTAAATGACAAAAGGAAGAAATTATAAAAGAAAAAAAGACCAGAAGTGATGGAAAATTATAAATCTATTTAAAAAGTCATATAAAAGTTGTCTTTTATGCATAATGACACAAGAAATAGAAAATAAAAGTGTTCTTGCCTCTCAAAGGACAATCAATCAAATACAGACAACCACTTCATACACTAATCCAAGTTCTTAAGTAGTCAGATGAGCACTTGTGGGTTAGGAATAAAATGCCACAGCAGAGCTGTACTGAGAGTGAAATGTCAATGAGAGTCTATGTAAGGGAATCTAAAAGCCGTATCAAATTCTGAGAAGTGGGGCATTTACGTTGTTATCGATAGTCTCTCTCAGGCGGGTGAGGTCCTCCATGGCTGCCTCCCAGTTCTGCATCAGGATCTCAGAGGCCAGCTTGCCCCACAGAGAGTTCAGGGCATTCCTGTCTGTCGCTGGGACCTTGGGAACAGATATGTGTACTGTTAAAATTTGAGAAACACAACACAGAAAAAAACAGTCTCTGGACCAACAAAATACTGATCAAGAGTCTTCCTGTGCGGTTTGGCACATCATTCAGTAACACCTGCATCTATACACAGTGAGACCAGGGCTTCACACTAAGGGTGCATTAAATAATAATCGGTTACAAAAAAAAATGTAATCGATAATTGTTTTGTAGTCCACATTTTTGTAAATGTTTCTTGTTGCATTGTGGGTTCTAGGATCGGCCTAATTCAAAACAGAAGAAAAGGAGCATGAGCGCAAAAAGAAAATAGATGACGAACAAAGCCCTGATAAAGGCTCTGTGCTGAAATGCGTCCGTTGTTTTTATTTGAGGTTTGCTGTCTGTTGATGTAAGAAATGTCATATTTGAATGTTAATACAAAGGCATCTTAGGCGCGGTCACACTGGTCATCCGTAACGTGCTGCACCCAAGCACGATTGCCCCCCCGCAGCGGCATTCCCCAACTTGCCGGCGCGGCCCGTGGTCACACTACACAGGACTATCCGTGCCTAAGCACGATTACCTCTTGTACATAACGTCTTAATACAACACATGCACGCTTAATGTTATTATGAAGCGTGCTCAGTTTACAAACAGGCGGACGAGAGAGAGAGAGAGAGAGAGAGAGAGAGAGAGAGAGAGAGACAGAGAGACGCGCAGTCGAGTCCGCGTCTGCACATCAGAGAAAAACACAGAACATGACAACTACTTTACAGCTTATTTTAAGCCATTTTAATCAGACAAAGCAATAAATAAATTAAAAAATAAATACGCGGCCGACTCCACGCGCGACTACGTGCGTGAGTCCGCGCGGACGCCCGCACATCAGAGAACAACACAGAGCATGACAGCTACTTTGTGTCTTATATTGTGTCATGTTAGTCAGATACAGCCATGAAACTCTGGATTCCTCCATAATGAAGGTTGTCCGCGTTGTTTACCCACGTGTTTGTGCTCGTGCATGAAGTGTACCGTGCTGAAGCACACCTCTCCGAAGTGTGCCAAAGGAAGTGTAGCCTACAGTGCCTGAGCATGATACCGAGCGGTCACACTGGTCAAACGAACTGGACTTTAGCGTTGAAGTGTGCTTTGGCACGGTACGGATGGCCTGTGTGACCGTGCTAACAATTATTAAAATCCCAAAGATTCAAATGAATCAATAGATACAGTCGGCATCGCGTCATAGTTGGGGGCGGGGCCTCCCGTGGGGGGAAAAGAATCACAGAAAAAAAACCAACTACAAAACGATTACTCGAGTACTCGCTTTAACAATGGGAAGAGTAATCGATTAGAGAAAAATTTGCATTTCTGCAACCCTACTTCACACTACTGTATGGGTGTTGTTCTAGCAAGTCAAATATTCAAATACTATTTATCTTAATTGCAATCGTGCAAACCTAGCAATTATTATTTGGGTAACATTAAGGCGGCATAATTAATTGTAATTTCATTATTATTGAAATATGAGCATTCATAATTTATAGAATTTAAGAAACTTCTAAAATATACCAGTTATCCTACAATGATCTCAGAAGCAAAAATTATCGTGAATAACTTCAATAACGGGATTAGTGAGCTGAATACAAATCCACACGATGGGTTGATGCAAACACCTTTCATAAAGAGCCAGTGTGTCACTTATACCCGATAAGAATGATTTAGTATGTACTGTACACTGCAGTGCTGCAAAATATTGTTTGGTGAAATTTGAAAAAATGACATCATCCCTGCCCAGGGTACATTCTGTTTCCTTAACACCGTTGCCAACCCTGCAAAGACTGACAAAGGGAGGGCAAACTTAAAAAGGAAGTTTGACTAAGAGAATCGTTTGGATATTATTTATTTTAAGTTCTTAAACAAAGGAACTGACACATAAGTAGCGGGCCGGAATGTTCTGAGGTGATTGTCATGCATTGCAACATGTAAGTTATTTTCTGCAGTCAGATTAACATTCATATGTTAGTATAAGGTTGTTTTGCTAACTTCACTCCATTTCAGACATAAAAGTGATAATTGCAATAATCTCCCACTATTACCCTTCAGTAAGTCTGCACAGGCCTGTCGTTATCACAAGGTCATTAGTCTGAAATATGAACTCAGGCGAATAAGACATCTTAAGGAGGGCACAATCACTCTCTTAATTGTTGCAGGCTACTGTTTCTGATTTCCAGAACAGACTAAAACAAACAAAAAAGAAATCAGGTAATGAAACACAGGTTGAGAATGCCTCTGAACCTCAGCAGGGCAATCACTCTGAAGTGGACATTGGACTACACCCTAAGGCTCATGGGAAAGTCTGCACCACAGTAGTTCACGATAACACCAAACACCAGACGCAGTGACATGAGTCAAGCAGGAAGTCAAGGGTGGGTGTCTGCTGAGCGGCCGGAGAAACATAGATCCTAACCACACACCCCCGTTAACCGTCGACAGCCGCTGAAGTGGACTGTGAGACACGACAGACGTACAAGAAGAGGAAACACTAAAAAAGAGCAGGTTTCCGCTGGAACCCCAAAGATTGAGAGGATTATTCATAAATAAAGGCTTTCTTATTCTTACTTGGCAAAGACCAGTTTTTGCTCTGATAAAATTTCCACAACAAGCTGCTTTAACATGAGATGAGGACAGGTAGGTGGAAGATATTTGGAAAATCTCTTATAGAATCCCCTTAAGAGAGGACAAAGATAGAAAGTGTCCATCCTCCAGTCAAAGCAGCTGGGTTTCTTTGAACAAAGAAAACGACTCAGGTCCGTCATGACTGACTATTTTTAAAGTTCAAAAGTCACATGAAAGATCAGTATTGTGACATGGAGGGAAAATGGCCGTCCCTGCCAATGTAAAGGTCAGCATTTCATCTGCCGAAGTGTTCTGTTTTGTTTGTTATTTTTTTTTTTCCCTCTCTTGGAAGTCCCTGCTTGCTACGTTTGGCTGACCCCCAGGTCTCTCTCTCACACACAGACAGAGAGAGAGAGAGAGAGAGAGAGAGAGAGAGAGAGAGTCTGCCTTTCACTAGTGGCCACGCTAGAAAAGTTTCAATACCTGGGTTTTTCCAGCAGTTACCTTGAGTTTCCGTTGGTTAGTGAAACGGCCACATTTTCGCTGTCTGACCAGCAACAATAAATTGACTGTGCTGGGGATCCGACGGGATACTCTATCTTTATTCTTAACATTCAATCCCTGCATTAACTGATGATATGAATAAGTTGCTCTTTTCGGACAAGGCCACACTGTAACAAGACCTGAGGCATGGGTTGTGCAAGGCCGGTTTCCTTCGTTTAATTGACTGGGTTTCCCACGTTAAATTACTTTATGGAGCCTCATCTCACCCATACAGGGGAGGGAGAGACAGAAGAGGGGCCTGTGAGGATGGGAGGTCCACAAAACACTGAAAATAAGGAAGGGGGAGCTGTATACAGACTCAGACTAAAAAAATAAATCTCTACCTTTTCCCCTTCTAAAGTGCCTCTTGCATTGTCCAGAGTAAGCAACAGATATCTGGTTACAGAGTCTGATCTGGATGGAACTTAAAATGAGGGGTCTGACAATTTGAGGAGTAAAGAAAAAGCTCTGGACTTCAAACAACCAACCTCAATTAGAGCAATTTTGGTTTATTTAGAGTGAGTTGCAAAGCCATAAACAACTGTAGTAGAAGCAGTGGGATGTATCCTTTGGAAGCTTTCGAAGACTTCTCTTAATGTGTATTTTTTTTGTCGGCAGGGGAAGTGGAAAGCTTGGGTGAATTAGCCGTCATCTTGTCTCGGATGCAGCTCTTCCTTCCACAGATTTGAGCAGATCAGTGAAAAACCCATCAGATGAAGTACCCAACTGCTTCGGGTTAAGAGGGATGTTTGCAGCGCAGAGTTCATCATCCCTCAGAGTCACTGCCAAGTGTTTTCAGGAGGGGACCATACAGCATAGTGAATGTGCATGACTCGTTGGAGTCACCGACATCCCAAAGACAAGAAGCGACGCAGTGCAGTATCAAATGCCAATTAGACTGGGAACAAAAGATGCTCTTAATGTTTTTCACTCTAATGAACAGACAAAAAGTTGATTTTATTCATCTCATTCTTTCAAGCTTGGCTTTGGCACGAGTCCTTGCTTTACCGCAGAGCTAAATGCTGAACCAAAGACACAAAAGCAAGAGCACAAGTGAGTGACACTTGGAAACTACTGAGTATGCAGGCTGGTTCCATGGTCATTATGGGACATTCAGTGGAGTCAAACTTACTAACACTTGATGCAAGATAACACTAAAAGGGGTCAAAGTCGAGTTAATTTTCCCCCTGGAAATATGGTTTTCATTTCAAATAGAGCAACGGCGGTAGCTACAAGCATGATAATGCCCTCCATGTGACCTTGAAGGCAAAGTGGACAACAACTTACACCTCAAGCTACTTTATTCATCTTCCCTAGTTCTGTTGACAAAATAGCTTTTTTATGAAATGTATGCATTTCCTTAGTAAGAAGCCCCATTAGGGTCTGAAATTAACACCCACATGGCTAGGTATATCTCAGTGAGCTATGGGCCGCATGGTGTCCAAATGTACCGAAATAGTCCCATAATTTAAAAAAAGCTGTCTTTTTAGCGGGTTTTGTTTAACTGCAGCTTCTTTCTCCCACTTCTCTGCAGTCTGCATGTCGGAGACCCCAAGGGCAGGCTGACGGGCACAAACATACACTGATGCACACACGTGTACAAATAGAAACGCTTGCAGAAACAGAACGCTTAACGACTTCCAGGTAATATTTCCTTTTCGGTGCAGCTTTAACGTTTGCAACATAAGCACCGTCGATTCTTTCTCCATAATATCCCTGAGTAGCGCCTGTTCATCTGATGAGTCTCAGGTCAGTTCAACAGTAGAATGTAAGTTACATAGAGACTTCACTCTGACTCACTTCAGTGGTACGAGTCCAAAAAAGAAACCACTTTAATTTTGATGCAATTAACGGGGAATAAGTTCGCTGAAATAATAACAGCATTAGGATGTCAATTTGTAGAAGCAAACAGGTAGGCTTTTTGGCACTACGATATTTCTCATTGAGGTGAAAACTGTCTTGCGATATCAGTACATAGACTCAGAGCAGCAGCCATCTTGGTGGAGTCTGATGCTGAACTGGAACAAAACCATGGAAGATACCACCACTATGTTAAAATCGTTTGTGTGGAGTGGAGAAACAGATCTCATCTAATCGAATCACTAACACCCCAATTCAGGCCTGAAGAATCTATATAGAGCTTAGTGTTGAGCTAACTCAGTAGCAGAATGTATAAGGTTTCACAGATCCTTCCTAAACAGTAATTATGTGTTTTGTCCAGTAAGAAATAAGCTAGGCAATTTGCTTATTACTTTTTTGTCTCCATTTATGTGTCTTTCATTTAAGACCACCAAGTTCTACTGTTCTACTGTGACATTAGATACAAAACACAGGCTTCAAATGTATTGTAGAGCCCAACTTAATCCTCATTGTATCACGTCATTTACAGGCAAACAGTGATATAAAGTGACTGGAAATGAGCCACTAGTGACTAGAAGTTCCCACCCCTTAGAATCTGGCACTACCTGAACTAACGCCTGTAATCAAAGACTAGTAAAGGAGGTACATCCAATTACATGGAGAGACAAAACTCTACAATGACTCAGTCTTAGTGTTTAGTCTTAGTAGTCCGCCATCTTTGCAGTCAAGCAACACATAGCCCATTCACCATCTGTTCATCTTTCACTCATTTCTGAGGGCAAAAGGGAAACAAGCCACAAGTGCCAGAGCCAAGGCAACAAGTCTGTGTGTTTATAGAGGAAATAGGGAGTGTGCATATGCACTAACAATAACACTCTCAGTACTCACTGGGAGCTGTAATTATCTTCCTCTGCAAAACATTTGTTGGCAATACTCAATGTTAAAAAACACTTGTCTTGGAAATCATTTGATCAATTATTTTATTGTATTATTTAGCCTTCTTCCTCCAGCTCTCATTTTAAATTCAGGAATGAAGAGCAGACTAGTACAGACAGTCCTAAATAATCGACATGTGCATCCTCTATTAATCACCTCGCAAAATGTGCATAACTCTCCTGATTCTAACTAAAAGATGCCTCGCATAACTTAAGCACGCCATAAGCTCAGAAGTCGTGACAAGGAACTCTCTGGCCCAAGCACTCAAATCAATAAGCTGTCTACTGAAGCCCGCCCCGTGAAGAGACTAGAGACAGATTATGCAGTCCGCCGCTGATCACTTGGCCCAGTAAAAAAATCCAACTCAAGTCTTAAAGCAGCAGTCTCTTCTTAATACAAAAGACGTGCAGAGAATTGAAGAGCCAATGACGTAAGCTTTTCACATTCAATTACTTTTAAGTGTTCTCTTCCTCTCCTATGCAAGCACCAGCCTTTTGAGGAATTAAAGCAATCTGGCCAACATAATGTGATGTTCAATTTTAATGTCAGAGAAACACCGTAAGCCAGTATATTAAGAGGACAGTATAATACTACAGACACTCTGTTAAGTGAGGCAAGGTGCAGAGTTATCAGTACACATCACCATTAATGTTAGCTGGTGTCAATGACAGAGGTTACAAACTTACCAAGACGCGGAAGAAGTAGAGGTACTCCGCAGCACCAGAGTAGTTTCCACACTCGTACTGGAACTTGGCATATCGGTACAGCGTGTCCAAGTATTCCTGACGAAACTTGAAGAGAAATGAGAAATATGTAAATTGTTGTCAGACCAAGGAAAACATTACTTGGGCAAATTTTCAAATCAAACATTTTGCTTGTTCTGTAATTTCAAACAGCTGTGGTGCTGGAGGCAATCACACTTCGCTTCTTTATTGTTGCGTTTTTTTTTTAACATGAAGATACACCTTATATACCGTATTGATCAAAATATAACAAGTTCACAACAATAGATGCAGCACTTATCTGCACAGCGATGTACAGCTCATGACTGAGGCCCATCACTCACAGCCAGAGTGCTGGGGGGGGGCTATGTTGACTGTCCAGAGCAAAGTAGCTCAAAGTAGGTTAAGGTGGGGCGCCAGTGACCTAGCGTTTAATTTGCACGCCCCATGTACAGAGGATGCAGCCTCTCAAGCGAGCGGCCTGGGTTCAAATCCGACCAGTGGCTCCTCTCCCGCATATCCCTGCTCTCTCTCCCCATTATCCGACACTCTCCCTGTCCTTTCTCAAAAAAATGGGGGTCTTATAATCAGGGCCATCATATATGCAGAACAATACAGTACTTTATGCCATTTATATTAACACACTGATCCAATTCTAATATTCTATTACTTGTAGTAACATCATTTTCTTGCTGTGATAACACACCACCTTTAAGTCAATATAAAATAAACACTGCTATTTCATATAAGGGGGTATCTTTTTCTAAGCGGAGCAAGACAATATTTAACTTTTCTGACAGATCAGCTAGGAAGTGGTCATGTGAGCTAAATTAGAAATGCATATGTATATATATGGCTATCTTTGGAAGCATTCAAGCTTCCTAAATATAACTTTTTTTTTCTGCTGTCTGGTGTCTCACAGCAGTGTGCACTGACGTCAGTGCGATTTCGGACAACTGTTACAGGCAGCGGGTGCTCAAGCCTTCCCACAGCCTACTGCGAGGCCGGGAGTCTGAGCTGTGAGGAGGTGCGCTGAGGACAGCATGCAGGTCAGCGGGATACCAAAGTGGGAGGGGACCCGATGGAGGGGAGGGTAAGAAGCCAAACATCATGGTAAATATAGAAGCTCCGGCATTTTTGCGGCTCTATCCACGAGTCCCGAGCTACTCCGTTTATTCTTAACAATTCACCACAGAATGTAAATGTCCACAGAATTTGTGCAAGCCATACAAACCCCGAAAATGAGTTAAGGGTTTTGGGAAGTAATTTTGCGTTTCCCTGCTCAGCCTTCCCCTCCCACTTCACCCCTAAAACAAACGTGGGTTCACACAAGAACCATGGGAAAGACATTTAGAAGTGAGATGTCAGCAAATGAGGCCAACTTACGTTGTGTTTTTCTGCCAAATACTCAAAGAGCATTCGTCCGTCTCTGAAAAAGAAAAGAAAAAGGAAGACAGTTCCTGTAGTTAGAGGCCATTTAAATTGAGTCATCATTTGGCTTACATCCTGGTGTTTGGAGTCCCATTCAGGTATATTTTTCCACTTCTGGTCTAGATCAAGAGCTGCACATGAATGAAGACCATTTGACTTTTAAAACAGTTTGATAGCCTGTTTATTACATTTAGTTTGGCTACTCCAAATCTATGCTAGCAAGTCTAACAAATTATATCCAGTGAGGAAGGAAGTAAGCCCTTTAGTCTAGATGGCATCGTCAAAACAAAGGAGTGCACCAACTTTTCTAACAACTAAAATCTAAACTGCATTTCACAACTTTGTCCTCAATTTATAGCTTAGTATGTCTGTGGACACTGAAACTATGCACTTCTACGGTATGTCTATTTCTATAATGTGAATAAATAAGGGTGCATTTATTTTCTGGCACATGCTTCACGGGAGTGAATTTTTTTTAAACTAAGGCAGGACTCTTCACTGCTTTAGACAGGTTGTCTCTGCTGATGGTGAATCACCTGTAGAGAGGAATGTCCGCCTGCTGTTCATTACTGGAACACAGATCCTGATAGTAAATCAGAGCCACTGCCCATACCATTCATGTCAGTCAAAAATGCCTTTTTTTTTTTTTTTTTACTTTTAAACCATATGTCTAACTGCAAAGCAGATGTATCGCTATGCACAAACACAAAATAGTAAAAATGTTATCCCTAAGTCTGAGGCTATCTCGTGCTTTACAAAATATTATCAGAGTAAGACCACAGGCAGATGCTGAGATGTTCAAGTGGACACTGTTCATCATCAAGGTCTGCACAGCATAACTGCCACCTTCAGCACTGAAAAAGTCAAGGAGCCATCAGAAACATGCTAAGTTAAACTCCAAAAAGTTGTTTTAAATGCCTCAACAGGTTTAAACAATGAGAATATAGGTCATTAATCAATTTATCAGCAGCAATAATCCAGCTAGTGTGTCTAAACATAACAGTTTATGGAACATTATTACAATTACCGATATTAACTATGAGCGAAAGCCCGGCTTGGTTTCTGGCTTTAGTTATTATCTAAAAAAGCCGCTAAAGGCAAATATGCAGAATAGCCAACTGGTAAACAAGCTGCATTAAGACTAACAGGTTCTACTTCCCATGATCCATTGATCCAGAAATAATGATGAGAACAAGCAACTGCATCATGCATTATTTAGGCCATAACAGGAGAATAATCCGTGTGCAAGTCTTTTGGCGTAACAGCAAATTTTTATCCACCACAGATGAGTTTCCCATTGTTTTACAAATTGAATGGCATGAAGAGAAAATACAACATATAACTTAAGACAGACACATGATTCTTGATCCAAAAGGAAGAATTCTTTTTTACTCTACGCTGACAGCAAACTAACAAAACACTGACAAGCTCTAAATGAAAGCTGCCATCATCAGGCTTCAAATCTCACAAAACAGATCCTACAAATCTGTGTCTTGAAAGAACAGTACAAACGGAGAAGAGTTACAAATGGAAAATGCCCTTGATTGTCCAGGCACACACTCGCCAAGAACCAAAGTAAAGGATGCAGACTGATTGTAACTATTTCAATCACCGTAGACAACAAAACTGTCTTAATAGAGTTAACCTCAACATCTCGTGTCTCTCTTTTTGCGTGTCTTTATTGTCTTCTCTTAGCAAAAGCACTAATACGTTTTTCATGGAAATTTCCAAATGTTCCAAATAACATGCCCTACTTAACCCAGATTCAGTGCAAAAGAAGTCCAGCAATAGATATCTCAACCTCACTTACGGCAATTGTGTATGGCATAACATTGTCCATTAAGAAAAGAAAATACTACTTTTGATTAAAACATAATAATAGTTTTATTACCTGGTGGACTGCATCTGCCTTGTCGTCTCTGGGTCCTCAAACATTTTCACAATAGGTTCAGTCTCTGACTGCAGCTGTTTGAGCTGGGCAACAACCTCTGTCCTTTTCTCCCTCAGAGCTGACACAGGGAGGATAAAGAATAGCATTAGGTACAGCAACACTAGAAACCAAAATGAATAGAGTTGCACCCCAGCACTCAAATACAATACAACAAAGCAGAGAAATCAATTCTAAATGGAGTGAGTGGGGTAGCAAAGATAAACCTTTATGATTTCAGTTAAGTGATGCGAGTCTTCATTTGGTTTTGTGTATGTTGGTGGGGGAGTGTGATTCCATGAAGTATAAAACCTACTATGGGGAATTTCCTTATCAAGGAAAAGACTTCTGTGCACATCCATGGCGAAGTCCACCATGTTGGTGTCACTGAGGAGGTCCAGTTTCCCATTAAGTAGTTCCTGTTCATTGTAGATCTAAGGATGAATAAATGCCAAGAACATAAAACAGAGGTGAGAGAGGTGTTTTTGTACAAAAACAAAATAATTAAAGACTGATACATTGTATTTCTGTATCACTGAGTGTTACAAGACCCAAATTAGTTTCTAGATAATACGTAAAGTCTATTGTGTCCTCAAAAGCCCCTTGTACGAAACAGTTAATAAAATAACTGACTGATATGACTGAACCATACAGTCAGTGACTTTTAACTAACTTAAATGTTATCCGACTTTTATTCAACCTGGTTTTCGTTCAATACCTGTAATAGGCATGTGTTTTGAGTATTACTAACATTTAAAACTGTTGTTGCCAAGTGTATTCAGAAATCTGTGTACCCATTTTAAAAAGCTGTACTGTTTACAAAGTAATCCACTCTAATAAGTCCAAACGTTCTTTTCTTGAAAGACTGACTAACAGGAACAATTGAAACGTGCACAACATGGGCCGCTTAGTGCCTTTGAGGTACAATCTTGTGAATTTGGATGTAGCTTGGGATTTTAAAACCGCTCAACCGTTCCCTTAGTTTAGCGTTGTACAATAACGTAAAACATTTTTTTCTGCAAATAAAATGTAGCACTCAAAAAAATGATAGTATGTTAAAACCGCGTGGCTGAATTAGCATGGGTGAAGCTAGCTACAATCAAACCCAGGATTTCCGATTCTGTGTTTTCAAACATACAACTCAATTCAAGTATGTAGGTCAAATTCAATGTGCGAATTCCTCAAATTTCGGTAATACTTAGCTGTTAATTCACCATACACATCTATGTATTGTCGTACTCATCGTTAACAGTATGATTTTAGTTTGTCTGCTTTAATTTTTATCGTTTACTTTTAGCTTTTATTTTGAAAAGCGGAAGCCAAAAGCCGGTTGCGTAACGGTTAAGTGTTGCTACTTTACACAGCTTCAGAAAATGTGGTCAACACCTTAGCATGAATCGCTGGTACAACGATGGAAAAGCCGTATTACAACACCTAAAACACTCTTGAAATATCAAAAACGAGCGCCGAAGACATTATTCCTGATTTTAGGCCGTACCTCTTTTACAGACAGGAACTCCAGCAGAGGAAAAACGAGATGACGATCTAAAAAGTGAGCAATTTTGGTAGTGAGATCGTATTCCGCCATTTTTGCTCCGGAGAAAGGGAAGCGACCGGAAGTTCCTGGTTTTTACGTCACACGCGGACGGCCAATCGGAGACAGCTCAACATCTTCATTGAGAAACTAAAGAAGCCTTTGGATGCTGATCTTGACGAGCGATTATGATAACATTGACGATTAATATTTGAAATAGTGCATGTTTTACTGTAGGCTATAGCTATTTGAAATGATTTATATCTTTCTTAATTCTTTTTAATTGTTCAATTCTGTTATGAAGACCTTTTTCAATTTCCTTATTAGATTTAATTATATTTAATTTCCTATTATATTATATTCAGTTAATCTTATTCATTGATGTCAGGTATATTCATTTGGCTAGCAAATTAATTTGAATGTTTTTATTATTTCTGAAATGTGGGTGAGACCTCAATATTATATAACTTGTTTCATTCCAATTGCTACAATGGCAGTAGGTATACAGCTCCCTGGGGAGAAACTGACTTGAATTTTATTCATATTTTACCCTTTCATTCTTGCTCATGAATGGAAATGTCAATCTTTATTTTTCTTCGATGTCTTCTCAGAAATATGCATAACTGTGACTTGTAAACCTTTCAAAATTCCAATAATTTCCTTGTGGTGTTGATACAGTGAAACATTTCATTTATGAATAGGGATCCATGTGAAGGTTTTGTTGAATTTGAAAACATAGCTCTCTGCCAGTCACCACCAATATTTCCTTCTAAAAGTCTGTATGACTGTGTATGACGTCTTTATGGGACCAAAACCATTTTAGGTCAAATATAGTCACAATGAACCCTTGAATTTTAATGTGAGAACTATTATTTCCAATCGTTTGACTTTTCCACAAGGTTAGAATGTCTTCACTGTGGATCTGAACCATCCTTCTCTCTCCTACTTTCCTTCAGCAGATACCTCATAAAGGTGCTCCTCCGTAAACCATACTGGGCCAACGACTGCCAGTAACAGCTACGAAACTGCCCTTCTCTAATAGGTTTAACTAGAATCTTGTTTTCCTGACAACCACAAAGCACTGTCTAGTATCCTTACACAATTATTCCCTTGTTACCTTTGGGCTCTCTCTCTCTTTTACTCCCACTTCTCCCTGTCGCTGACGGCAGGTATGAGTCATAAACAGACACCACTCACCATGGCCAATTGCTGTTTTACTGGGTGCTTCTGACACAGTCAGCCCTGGCTCAATGACAGCCTGCTTAGATTTAAAGAATAAAACACAGCTTTTACCCTTTTTTTGAATGCTATATGCTCTACTTGCTAATTTTCAGTAAATG